TTAAATAGTTGAGTTTTTGTATATAGATTACCTTGTATTCACCCTAGATTTATTAAAAAGAAAAAGAAAAAAACTCAAAATTCACAAGATAACACTTAATTTGTGTAATATTAAGACTTACAATTACCTAAATTATTAATAGACCAAAAATTTTGAGAACACAGGCTTATTCTTCTTTAGTTTGGTCCTACTTGATTAAATATTTAATAATTTTTATATTTTTTAATTTAAATATTTATTTTTACATGAATCTAAATACTATGAAACTAAAATTATATCAAATATACAAATTTAACAGGAGTCAGGACCCTTTGGGCCCTCACTATGCTCCACCCCTGTTTGGGGGGAGACATGTAACTATGGGTTGAAGATGATAACGAGTAGTGACGAGCAAAAGTTATTTTTAATTTGTTCTTGTCATATCTTTATCATTTGAGTACCATATTTTTCTTCTTGTATGTATGGCTATTTGTTTCATGTATAGATGAGTCTGGAATGGTTTGTATATTTACTTTGATTTTGTTGTTTTCCGTTTTTAAAAAAGTATAAAGGAAAAAAATAGCTTGATTTGCTAGGTATAATTATGATATCTGATTTATTATTTGATCATATTAACATAGTTTTTAAGAGGGAGCAGTGCATGGATTTCCTTTCATTTCCTTCCCTGTGGTGTTGAAACCATAGAGGAAGGATTAGGAAAGAAATATGATCTGGGCCAAAATGAAGCAGCACTTATCAGAACAACTGTGAGTTACAGTGAAGAAGACGTGATCAGAACTTTTGTTTTGCCTGAAAAAAATTAAAAAAAAATATTGCATAGTTTTTAAGAGGGAGCAGTGCATGGATTTCCTTTCATTTCCTTCCCTGTGGTGTTGAAACCATAGAGGAAGGATTAGGAAAGAAATATGATCTGCTGGGCCAAAATGAAAGCAGCACTTATCAGAACAACTGTGAGTTACAGTGAAGAAGACGTGATCAGAACTTTTGTTTTGCCTGAAAAAAAATTAAAAAAAAATATTTGGTCGGTCAGTTGGGACATAGTTTTTATCTTCCTGAATACACGTAATTCGAGGAACTCATGATTTGATAATAATCTTTTTCTGATTCGACTAATTATTATGTTTTTCTCTTTTTGGGTTATATATTTCAACAATTTCTTGGTTTGCATTAATATAAATATCGTACCTCCTCTATGCCCTTGATGACAGTCAGATTTCTATTATCATTTCTTCGCTTGTTTTTTAAGTTCTTATCCGACCAACTATAGTATTTTGATATGATGATTAATAAACTCATATAATTTATCTGAGTTAAATATGATATATGACAATCAGATCTATTTTTCTTTCAACATACAAATATTCATCATCATTCTAGTACCAAGCCTATGCTATTTTTGAATCCCTTTTCGAATGGCTTGTTCTCCCCGGCCGAAATAGACAGTTCAATTCCTTTCTTTAGAACCATACTTGAGAGTTTCCTACCTCATACGGCTCGACAATCGATTCTTTTGATGTCTCATTTTTTTACCCTACCATATATCCAATTGAATAAGATTTCTCGTAGATCTATCGATTTGTCTCGGGTTAACCAAAAGGGATTAGTTCCATGAATTTCAAAGTTGAATTCTGATTAAATTAATAAGAAATTTTGTCTTTTCTCTCACCTTCCAAAAAAATAAAGCATAGTCACTTTAGGACTCTGGTCCTCTAGATTTTTCTAAAAGATAACTATATAATTTTCATATCATATAGAAATTTATATAGAATCCTTGAAAAAGCTTTCTTCCTGGCTCTTCGACAATCTTGATAAAAAAAACAATCATAAAAGTGGATTACACAATTTGATGCTATCATTTCGTGACTATGGACTAATCGATGTAAGAGGATCTTCGAGCCTGAGGATCACGTTCAGGATGTTTATAGTTTGTGGCGCAATATTGTTACTACAACGAAAGAAGTGTTGTTGGCAAATAACAATGGTGCTCGGAAGTTGATTCAACCCTTCAATGTGGCTTGGTCTCCTCCAGGGCATGGAAGCTTAAAGTTAAACACGGATAGAGCTAGTCAAAGTAACGTGGGGGGTCTCAGGAGCGGGCAGTAGTTTGAGAGGCGAAACTAATGAGTGGGTCTTAGGTTTCACGGCGCAGTTGGGTACTTGTACAAATGTGACTGCTGAGCTTCATGCGATTAGAATTGGATTGACAATTGCATTAGATCATGGCTTCCGTAACTTTGTATGCGAGGTGGATGCTCGGGTGGTTCTCCAGTTGATCAAGAAGGGCAACGTAGTTATTCATCCTTTGGGGACAATTATAGAAGACATTCGATGCCTTAAAACGTTCCATTGGGATCTTGAATTCCAACACGTCTACCGGGAAGGAAACTTCTGTGCTGATATTCTTTCGAAAATGCGGTGCTCACTCGAAGAGGAGTTGGTTATCTTTGAAGTTCCGCCAACAGAAATATAATCCTTCCTGAACGCTGATAGCAGGGGAATATCATTTCCCAGAGGCTTCATTGTAGGCTAGTTTGTTTTACATTCCCGTTGTAACAAAAAAAAAAATCCTCTTCCTCATATAAAAAAAGACTTCCCATCTCATCTCGGACATTTTCGAGATCCTGAACGAAAATTAAAAAATAGACCCTTATAATAAGAAATTATATTCTATTATTTTTAAATAATTAATTTAATATTACATTAATAAATCATAAAAGAAATGATTAATTTTTTTCCAAACATTATATTCAATGTTTTGTTAAGAAAACATTTTAAATACAACTAAGATAATATATAAAAAGATTTGAATGTATGTATGATATGGAGTTTGATTTTGAACAATAAATAAAAAATAAAGAATAGTGTATTAATTTACGGTTAGATTGAAATTGAAGAAGATTAAGAGTTAAAAATATATGATAAGCTGAAGAATGTAAAAATTAGCTGTCCCTATTCTCATATGTCGGGGTAAGGGAGAGGTAGGGTAGTAGGCTGCCCCCAACGCCAGGTTGAGAGCAGCTTTCGTGGAAGACCTCCAATTATGAATTGCCCACCATGAGACTCGATCCCACGACCACAAGATTAAGAGCCTTGCGCTCTACCAATAGAGTTGGACGAGCAATTACAAGATTATAATAAAAGAGAATCACAAGATTATATTTAAATCGAAATTAAATAAAGGATAAATTACATCATTCCTCACCGAACTATACTCTCTCTCCTATTTAATTCATTGTACTTTTAATTTTTCTAATTTACTCGTTGAACTTTTGAATTGCTCCTATTGTGATCACTTTAAATTATTTTATTATTATTTTCATATGGCAAGACATTTTATTATTATTATTATTATTATTATTATATTATTATTATTATTATCATCATTATTATTATTATTATTATTATTATTATTATTATTAATTATCATCATCATCTAATATAAAAATAATTTAAAATATAAATAAAAATAGAAGGTGATCATATGCAATCGCCGGCTTCCGTCGATCGCCATAGATGGCGGTCGTTCGGTCTCAAATGGTTCGCTTTGCCTCGACACCCTAATCCAAATTCGACCTCCATTTTGCCGGAACTTGCTTCGAAGTCCACGAATTGGAGATCAAAAAGTGAGGAAGTCAAAATGTTTCAAAATATATTCGTGGATTTTGGGTTTTTTTGGTAAAACAACCACTAAATTCGGACTCAAGGGTCGAGGCGAACCGACCATGAAATTTGGACTTAACAACCACCATCTACGATAGTTGACGGTGACCGCGGTGTCATCCGACCACATTATATTTTTATTTTATATTTTAAATTATTTTTATATTAAATAATAAAAAATTCCAATTGTACGAAAATAATAATAAAATAATTCAAAGTGAACAAAATAGAAATAATTCATAAGTTCAATGAGTAAATTAGAAAAATTAAAAGTACAATAAGTAAAATAGGAGAGAGAGTAAAGTTCAGTAAGAAATATTGTATTTTGCCCTTAAATAAATTAGTAAGAGATAGAAAAAATAATGAGAAATTGAGAATTTTATGGAGTTGACAAAATTAAGAGAGTATATTCCAAAAAGTAGAAAATAGGGGTCCTGAGCAATCACTCAGGGTGCTCTCCTATTAGCTAACTCTGATCAGTACTAAGAGTATGTATATAGATCATCATGCAAACCTGTAGAGGGGACTCTCTTGATCTCTTTTTATTCCTCGTCATCTTCTTCGGCTATTATGTTATCTCTTTCTCTTCCCTAAATAATTGTATGTGCCTCTCTATCCAAATCCAAATCAAAAGATACCAATCATCAAAAACCACCACACTTCCATTTCTCCCATCAGCAAGCAATATAACAACCAATTTTTTCATCCATCCATTCTATTAAGCAAATTAAGTAGCTATTGCTTGAGTTTTATATTAACATAATATATATAATTAATTAGGTCGTTTAATGCTTTGGTGCAGTGTTCAATTATAACCCATCAGTGCATGATGTTGAACATATTTAGTATCGTCTTATACATGACCAAGTCAATTATGTTTTGTTTTTCCTTTTTGACTATAGTTAATTTCACGTGATAAAATATGGCCCCAACACAAATGATAGTGCATATATGAAATGCTGGCCACTCTTTTTGCTTCTATTAATTAAATTTTCAACACAAATGATAATGCAATATATGAAATGCTGGCCACTCCTCTTGCTTCTATTAATTAAATTTTCCACAAAGAAAGGAATAAGCTGATTTCTCCTCCCTAAAAATGAAACAGAAATCCTAAGCCAAATAATAAGAGTATGACATATTTGGTTTTCCACAAAGAAAGGAATAAGCTGATTTCTCCTCCCTAAAAATGAAACAGAAATCCTAAGCCAAATAATAAGAGTATGACATATTTGGCCTGTTGGTCCCAATTATAAGGCCATAATTTCCTTTTGTTGGGATTTGTCCCTCCTCTTGTAGGGTAATTTTCCTCTCCACGTTCATTTGTAGGTATAGAAGAAATGAAGTGTTTTCCATTTTTTTCTTCCCAAGACAAGGCTGTTAAAGGGGTAAACAAATCCGGTAAAGAGCCCCAGACTTCTAAATCAATTCCTAATCCCCCACCTATTCAAAACAAAATTCCTAATCCCCCTCCTATTCAAAAGAAAATTCCTAATCCCCCACCTCTTAAAAGGAAAATTCCTAATCCCCCACCTCTTAAAAAGAAAATTCCTAATCCCCCACCTCTTAAAAAGAAAATCCCTAATCCCCCACCTATTAAAAAGAAAATTCCTAATCCCCCAAAAAAGCCTCCTGTTTTCCACCAATCGTCTCCGGGTAATGTTGTCATGCTGATATAATCCATCTACTATTTCTTTTTAACATTTTTAGTCCTTTACTTATCGAAATAAGTATGTTCGATCCTGTGACCAATTTTTCTTTTTATCAATTCCATCAAATAGTTTAACGCATATGTTAGAATTGGATGACGTTGTTAGTAGTTATCGATTGGCTATGATAGAGCTTGATTGATTTGTGCGATTAGTAGTAATTTTTAGGTGCGATCATGTTGTGTCATTGAACATTGTTTTATTTCGCATTGGGGTGTAATCTTTTTAGGGTAAAGTACACATATGGTCCTCCGACTATAGGGTACTGCTTTATTAAGTCCCTCGATTATTAAAAGTTACGAAATGGTCCTTTGGCTATAGAGTGTTGCATTGTTGAGTCCCTCGACTATTAAAATTTACAAGATGGTCACCTGATTATTCATTATATTCCAAACTCTTCATTTTCTGTTAAAAAGTAGACTAAATTCTGAGTTGAACGTTGACTTGTTGACTGTGATATTATAAAATCTGATCCTAGAATCTCAAATGATTATCATATCCTAGTCATTATGTTATGGTCCAGCTTAAATAACCATCAATTTTTAACGGAAAAAGACGAGTTTAGAACATAATGAATAGTCGAGTGTCCATTTTGTAACTTTTAATAGTCAAGGGACTCAACAAAGTAATATTCTATAGTCAGAGGATGATTTTGTATCTTTTAATAGTCGAATGACTTAATAAGCAATACCCTATAGTCAGGGGACCATTTATGTACTTTACCCATATTTTTTTTATTAACTTAAGATTTTTTTAAATAATTTTTTTGGTAATTTTTTAGCCTTTGGTTAACATTGCTTACGTTAATAAATTTAGAGTAAACTGTACATTTAGTATCTAAACTATTACTTTTGTCCCGTTTTGTCGTACCTAAAGTTTAGTTTAGTATTTTCAAAAATTAAAAAATAAATAAAGTTTAGTTTAGGTTTTATTTTGGTACTCCCGCCATTAAAAACTAATAGTAATTTTGATGTGTCACCATAATGTAATGTCACGTCATCATTGGAAAAAATAGAAAAATATCACACCACCAGTTATGTTTGTTTTTTAACGACGAGTACCAAATTAAAACGTAAACTAAACGTTATGTATTATTTTGAAAAACATTAAAATTTAGATACTAAAACAGAACAAAAGCAATAATTTAAGTACTAAACATATAATTTACCCTAAAATTTTAATTTTGGCGCCCAAAAGGAAAAGTTTAACGGGACATCTTTGTGGTATATAAATTGTCATTTTTTTTATAGATAATTAGACAATAAACAATACATTTTCCCGCTTTGTTTCAAAATCAACAGACGATAAAGTTGTTAAACCAAAGGCCTCAGTACCTGAACCTCCAAAGACTAGTGATGGCCCTAAAGTCGACGGTAACAAAACTGTTACAGCACAGTCTTTCACCTTCCGTGAATTGGCGAGGGCGACCAGCAACTTCAGACGAGAATGTTTGATAGGGGAAGGTGGATTTGGGCGAGTTTACAAGGGAAAACTTGATAAAACTGCCCAGGTGAAAAACGTTTGCCTTCATTCATCAGCTTATATAAAAGGAACTTATTTGGTCACCATGGGTTTACTTTACCTGCCTCCATTTTTAGGTTGTGGCAGTGAAGCAGCTGGATCGAAATGGATTACAAGGAAATAGAGAGTTTCTTATTGAGGTGTTAATGCTAACCCGCTTGCACCATCCCAACCTTGTCAATCTCATCGGCTATTGTTCCGATGGAGATCAAAGGCTTCTGGTTTATGAATACATGCCTTTGGGATGTGTAGAGAACCATTTACTTGGTACTTTTTTGTTTTCATTTCATCTCTTGCATATTAAATTAAGCATAATATATACCAAAATTACCAACAGTTTTCATCCAATGAAGACATTTTTTTTTTGACATTATGTCATGTCAAAATTAGTCTCTAACGTTTGTACAAATGATCATTTTATTTTTTATTCTTTTTTTAACATTTTAACGGTTAACATTTTACTTTTGGTCAAATTGCCTATGTAGATGAAAACCGTTAGTTATCTAATGATCAACGCATATTATTGACGTGATATTTTTACATGTGTTAAATCTTGTGTCATATGTCATGCCACTCAAGATGATGACGTGACACTTGTCATATCATGATTAAACATATATAAAATTATCAAGTCAACAACATGTGTTGACCGTGAGTGAAGTAACGACTTTATACAAATAATGCAATAGATATTTGGGAATCTTTATCATGACAGATATCAAACCACATCGAAAGCCATTAGATTGGTACACAAGAATGAAGATAGCATTGGGTGCTTCAAAAGGATTAGAGTATTTGCATGACAAGGCAAATCCCCCCGTCATCTATCGAGATTTAAAGACGTCCAATATATTGCTGGACGAAGAGTTTAATGCCAGACTCTCTGATTTCGGATTAGCCAAGCTAGGACCCGAAGGGGACAAGACGCATGTGTCTTCAAGGGTCATGGGAACGTACGGTTATTGTGCACCGGAGTATCAAAGGACCGGACGTTTGACCGTCAAATCCGATGTTTACAGTTTCGGTGTTGTTTTGTTGGAGTTAATATCCGGAAGGAGAGTCATCGACACCACAAGACCAAACCAAGAGCAAAATCTAGTTACATGGGTATGCCGTTTTTTCTCTCCCTTTATTTATACGTGATGATAATCATAGATGAATATAAAAGTTTATGTTAAAGAATAAACTTATAATATTTTAAAAATAAAAAGACAAATTTATAAAATCTTAGGGAGATAAAAATAAATTATTAATAAAAATATATATGAGAAATAACAAATTTCAAAAAGATAACCACCCTCAATCGATCATTGTGGATAAAACAGTACATTAATAAGCATCAAACAATGCTCACTAGATTATTTTACTAAAACAAACATATAAAACCATAAGGTAAATTATGTGTTTATTATCTAAACTATAAATTTTGATTTGTTTTAGTACCTAAGCTTTCAATTTTTTTAAAATCATACCTAAAGTTTAGTTTTTATTTCATTTTAATACCCATGTTCAAAATTTAACGTTAAGTTTTGAATTTTTTTTTGAAAGCTTAGGTACTAAAACGAACCAAAACTAATAGTTTAGGTACTAAACATGTTAAGTTTTTAACGGTGAGGGTACTAAAATGAAACAAAAACTAAATGCTATATATGATTTTAAAAAAATAAAAATTTATATACTAAAACGGAGCAAAACTAATCAATTGATGTGCAATAGTTCCCAGGTCAGTATTAATGTGCAACAGTTCCCATGTCAGTATTAATGTGCAACATCAGTTTTCTGTCGCTCTCAGTAGTGGTAGTTAACGTCGAATGATTGATTTGCTATAAATCGATAACATTAGTGATCAAATTATTAGTTTTGAAACTTCAATGGGGAAAAGAGAAACGTACTGAAACATGAGTGACTATTTGTATGATTTACGTTAATATTAATTAATAAACTGGTTTTTTAAGAATAATTTAAACTATTTGTGACTCGTATTCATACCAGGCTGAGCCAATTTTCAAGGTACGAAGTAAGTTCCCACAACTGGCTGATCCACTTCTTAAAGGAGATTTCCCAAAGAAAGGCTTGAATCAAGCAGTTGCACTTGCGGCCATGTGCTTGCAAGAGGAGGCAACTGTACGTCCACTGATGAGCGACGTTGTCACGGCTCTAAGTTTCGTCGGAAACAGTCCACTGGTTGAAAACACCGATGTCTTCTCATCGGATCCTTCCTTATCCGACCAGTTGGTCGCAAAGGGGGGAAGTCACGGTGAAGATAGTAGCTGAATCCACTGAATGGAGTTCAAGTACTTTCAAGCACACTTCATATTATACGCTGGCGGATTTTGAGATTCAATTTTGAGGCTGATTATTTTTTTTAAACATTTGGAGACTTAATTAAAAAAATTAAAATTGAATCTCAAAATCCGCCTCAAAATTGAATCTCAAAATCCGCCAGCGTATAATATGAAGTGTTTGTTATTTATGTTACATTTTCATATTGGAATAAATTGTTAATTTTCGAGCTTTGAATGAGAAATTGATCGAAATGTTGTTAAGGAAAATATGGAATTAATTGTTGGTTCATAAATGTGCAGACGTGCACGATGTGGGTAACGTGAATGTCCTGACCAGTCTATCTCTTTGTGGGCTTGCGGATATTTTAACCTAAAGGTGAAATAATTTTTCCTCAAATAGAATATATCTTTTCAAAATCTGTTTTGGAATTAAAAGCATAAATATTAAAAAGGTTCCTTTAATCAAAATAGTAATTTTGGAAATTGCTTGATTCTCATTAATGCTTCATTAGGTCAAAAATTTCCAATTGTACATTTTTTGAACTCCCTATAAATAACGTGTTAACCTACTAGGTTAAACACATATAAAAAACAACTCAAAAACGAATTCAAAGGAATTATTTTTCCTAGATTTTGGTGATAAGCGAAGACAAGAAATAGTTCGTGATCTCGGCAGTTATGCTACTGTGCGTTGATCATCTCGTTGTTGTATCCTGGGAGACAGACGACCAAAGATCTAGAGCACGAAGGAGTGGTCGAAAATCTGTCTTAAGGAAACTGTAACGCCCCAAATTCCAGTCTAGTATTTTCGGGTCTACCCGAGAGGTAAGTGGACCCTGCAAAATTTATAATACAAGTTGTTAGGCTTAATTGGATTAGACTTGAGCCCAATTAAGCATAAAAAAGGAGATTTGTGAATTTCATAAATATGAGGAAGGACCTTTAGTGTAATTTTCTCGTTTTGGAAAGATGGAGACTTTTTATCTCTTCCATCTCCATTTTCTCTTTATTTTCCTATCTTCTCATTTTCTCTTCCTCCCTCCTCTCCAAGTTTCTTAGCAAAGGTAAGCTCTTGCCCCATTTCAAGTTTTATTTCGTTCTTAACCCCTCGAGCAACATGGATTTAACTATTCAAGCCATGGGTTCTTTGTTTGCAAGAGAAAGTTAAGGGTATTATCATCCAAGTCTTGGTGGGGGATGATTTCTAGCTAAAGGAGCTCAATTTCGAGATTCAATCATCAATGTAGTGTATTTCTATTCCTTTAGAGTATTTCTAATCCTTTGGAGTATTTAGTGTAATACCTCAAATTTAGGATAGTGACCAAAATGAAAATTTTGAAAGTTAAGTGACCAAAGAATAAAGTTTAGAAAAGTTTAGGGACTAAAATGATACTTTTAAAAATTTACAATTCGACCCCGTAAATAAATAGTTTACCTCAATAATAAAGTTTATATGGGAATCATAATTTTCGTACGGATTTTGTATTAAAAGTTATAAAACGATAAAGTTTGAGAAAAATTCGGTAAATCAGATCGAACAAAAATTTCAGAAAAAAATTAAAGGATGATAAATTAGACCTAAAAATATTATTTCCACATTTTAAAATGTTGTAAAATAATATAAACCATTAGATTTGAGGATTTAATTCCATGTTAAATCTAGACCGTTGGATTAAAGTGACAAGATTGTAATTTTTAGGAAATTTCAAGGGAAAATCGGTAAAGTGTGAATTTGTTTGTTCATATTTGACTTTTGTAAGATGATAAGGTTGAGGTGTTTTGGTTTGATGGTAAATATGAAGTTTCATTAAGGGTAAATTGGTCTTTTCCCAATTAAATGAATTTAATATTCATTAAAGCTTAAATTAAAGGTAAATTAGCATGAAATTAATCTAAAATTTCATGTCAACTTATTTGTCTTCTTCTCCATTTCCGTGAACCCTCCAAAGGTAAGAAAAAAATTTATTTTCCATTTTTAAGAAATTTTCTTTGGATTTCAAGTTATGCCGTGAAATAGAAAAGTGTTCTACGCGTGAAACACTATCTTTTGGTACCATTTATGCTTGCTAATCTTGCTTGATGTCAAAGATCCCAAATCCTAGGTTTTTTATTCACATTATGGTTCATGAAATTGATGATGAATCTTGATGTTTTTGAGGTTGTATATTCATTTTCAAGCTTGTTTGATGATTAAAACATGTTCAATCTTCCTTGAAATGCTTCTATGATTTTCGGTCAAATGATGGAGTTGTAGAACTTTGTGTTTTGATGAAATTTGATTAGGGCTTTGATATTAAAGATGTTGTAAGGTTGGATGGAAGTGGATTTCATGCTTGAATCGAATCAAAATCGAGCAAAATCATGTAAAACCTGGTTTTAGAGCATTCGACCATGGCTTGTTTGGATGAGAAAAATTATGGAAAATTTATGTAAGGGATAGAAATGCCGTAGGAAGTATGCTAAAGCCTTAGAAAAATTTGGGGATCATTCTGTAATTTTTGAAAAGTTGAAGGATCAAATCAGTAATTTTGGAAAAGTTGTGAATTATTGTGTGATTGTTTAATAGTTGATGTAATATGCTGAAAATTTCTGTTTGGGAATTAAAATGAGTGTTAAGATGTGAAATTTGACCATTATGGAAGTTTGGAAAGTTTAGTGATTTAAAGGCAATATTCGTATAGTTGGGGTACATAAATGTAATTGTGCCTTTGTAAAAGTACTTGGTTGGTAATAATTTCAATGATGGAATTTTGATTTTTCAAATTTAAGTAATAAAATGGTGAAGGACCATTTTGTGTAAATTGAAAAAGTTAGTGCCAATATTAGAATAATTAATAAATGTTGAAGTATTTTGGTAGAGAATAAGTTTCAAGTATAATTATGAAATTTTTTTTGGAAATGTATTTATGTTAGTACAATACTAACAAATGTATCGATATCAATTTTTGATTTTGTACAGATCGTGATTGATTTTGTGATCGAAGCAAATCGAGTATAAAAGGATTAAGTGTGGAGTATAGTGAGGCACATCTTTTGATATATAAAGTGTCAAGGTGAGTGCAATACATGCATGACATTGTACATTGATGTTTTATACATCATCAGGAAGATTTGCGAAGAGTCTACCTTGTTTATATCAGCATGATATTATGTCATTCATAATATCGACATGACTTTGATATGTCCAAATATGAAATCATAATGCATTAATCATTGACAAATATGATATTTTTCCATGAATGTTATTTTGGGTATGAACTGCCCTAATATTAATTATATGGTTATACGATGCCATGGATGAATAAATTATACTATATGCCCAAGTAAATCGTTGAAGGACAGGGCATAGTTGGTATGCCATAGAGTATAGCAATTGCAGGTTAACATTAGCACTAGTGTGTAAGGACACTAAGTGCGGGTGGTGGGCACGACCTTATGTGTCATATCCGGATTAACACTAGAGAGGAAGCTTAGTGCAGGTTTAACACTACGGTGTACATATATATTTCACTCGAATACCCAGTGTCTTCATGGGTTTACATTTATGTTATGTTTATTGAAATAAATGATTATAATGATATTATTATCATCATGTGATTATGGTAAAATATTAGTCATACAGGTAAACTGATCTTATTGCATTGGAAAATAACATTAAATTTCATGCATGAGTTGTATTGCACTGTAAATTATTTTTTTTAATTATCTCACTAAGTATATACTTAGCGTGTGATAATTTTCACGCATAGGTAAAGATCAGGAGTAGGAGTAAGGAGTACTGAGCAACACCAAACATCAAGGAGTATATTACAATATCAGTAAGACATCCTTTGATGTGATTTTAACTTAATTAGTGGCATGTACTTATGAATGTCATATATGCTCTGTTGAACTATTTTGGAACTAGTTTGTAATAGCTAAACTAAATTGTTTTACTCTATTTCACTATGGATAGTATAAATAAATATTATTATTATAAAGAGATGTATTTTATATTAATATATGTTTTCAGTATTATGTGACAGTTTTATGTGATTTAATATTTTTATATTATCAGTGAAATATTAATATAGTGTCAAAAGTTAAGAATGTATACATAAATACCAGATTTTACATAATATATGTATATATACATAAATAAATATATGTTTACAATAAATAAATTAAGTTAAGAATGTATACATACCACTAAGATGTCAAAAGTTTATTGATAGTTGTATATATATTACGATGCTTATTAGTGAGTAAAGTTACTCCTTACTAATGTTAGATGATTTTGGTTGTGTTCAGATGTCATATTAATTAGGAATCTGGTAGGGCGGGTGAGCATTTTACTGTTAGAGTATGCCCAAAGACTAATCATATGATGATTGTAATAATACTTTTTATTTACCAATTTTATTGAATAAAGGCATTGTCGATATTATTTTCAGTTATATATATGTGTTTAACATAAACTGAAAGATAATAAAGTCTATATAATAACATAATTGTTATTATTAAAAGATCCATAGTCAAGTATTATTATGGGCGTACAATAATAATAATACGCTTAAGACTAACATGTTATTGATTGATGACAACGATTTGTCATTGACATAGAGATGTCAGAATTGATACATGATTATATTTTAGAGAACAATGTATTGGATTGACCCACCATGAGCATATGTCTTGGATTATTATGTTACAAACATAACATTACTCATGGTGATGACTATATGTATGATCCTCAGACTTGAGATCAATGTTATCCCAACATATATTGTTGTATGTTTTGATGCAGTCAAACATGCTCTATAACTGGTTGCTCTATAAAGACTGTTATTGAATATATCTCTATATATGTAGTGGGTGTGTATGATTAAGATAGGTTTTGTCATTCCTACATAATAGGAAATATATCACAGGCCACTTGATTGAGTTAGACTAGAAATGCATGGCTTACTCGAATAAGTTGATATGAGATATCACAAATTATTCGTTAAT